GGGTTTCCAAGCACTGTACATGACACATGACTGGCGAGCGATGACGTAATATGGCTACGCTATAAGCCGACCACCAAAGTCTATTCACGGAAAATCTCTTTTGGAATTTCGTTTCCAGTATCTCATGTGGATTATTATGGGACCATGTATGAATATTTCGTAAATTATTTACACCATCCCTGGTAAACGACTCCTCATCACTGAATAAAATGATGCTTAACAGTTTGGGATGAGCTTTCATGCAGTGGCAGAAGTCCATACGCTGAGCATGGTCGCCTGGTTCCAGATGTTGTACCCTTTGATCATGGTAAGGATACAGCTCTTCATCATGTAAAGTTTGCCACACCTGCATACGTGATACGCCGATGCGAGAGGCCATTCTACGAGTGGAGAGACGCGGACTTCTATCAATCATGTCAAGAATGTTCTCTCGTGTGTTTCTCATTTGTACATCCTCCCTTTCCGACTGCACAGAAACACTCGGAAGAGAACCAGTCTCACGCAATGTCTGGTGAATTCCCGTAAATACACTTCGAGATGGAATCCTTCGATCGGGAAAACGCCTTTGGTACTCTTCAACAGCAGCACGTGCATTGCCACCGCAAAATCCATACATAAAATGCATATCACAATATTCAACATGTGAAAACACAAAAGGCATTTCAGCAACACCGCACAACTACACATAATTTACTAACCATTCACGACGCTGAAGCAACATACACTGTAGCCTCTGTAAATAGCGCATGAGATTACGGCTAGTGTGACTCACGGCACTCAAGGACAAACAGATAACAGTCACAGCTGACAAGTATAGTGCGTGGACCTGCTAGAAGACCACACTTTTCTCGGGCCATTATCTCCGTAACCGTTCAACTTTGGTCATAGGTGTTTTGGGTTATATCGGCATACTTTAACATAAGGAACACCCTCCCGAAGTTTGGTCCCTTCCTCCTGGGACACACTGTATACTAAGTGACAGATTGGTCAATCAGTCAGTATACAGTAAGTGTTTGAAATGTATGTTTCTTGTCAAGGCTGTGAATATCATGGCTACAGCAGTGATATCACACGAACATGGCCAGTGAGTGGGCGCTTCTCCCAATCTCAGCGTGACCTGTATGAAGCCGTTCTGTCTGTACAAACTGAGCTAATTAGAATGTGCGCTACACTTCCCTCACTGGATAGTCTGTTCCATGCTATGTGCAGTTTGCTGGGTCTGCGTTTGCAGGAACTGGGTGTTCTCTCCTCTCGCTCCACACAGGATGAACTTTCAAGGGTTAGTACACTACTGAGTCATAAATGTGGCTTTTTGGGCCTCTCTCATCAAGCATTTAATAAGTTGTCTGCCATTGGAGCCTGTTACTTTCATTTCAAGTGTATCACTGTTTTAACATTAATGGGACTGATATGTGTTTTGAAGATTATACTTCAGATGCATGTAAAAGGGAGTTATATACCTAAAAGCAAACCAAGGCAACCAGTCTTTTCAAGAAATTTGGTTATATTTGTTGCAGTGCTATGATGTATGTGTGTTTCTGTATACATATGATGAAATTTAATACATTTCTTGTTAAGTTTGAAAATTTAATCTTAAATTTTTTCATGTAGTGAATATTGAATAAATAAATTATTTCTAATTTTCAGTAAAGGAACTAGTATAGCCCATAAGATTATTTTGTGCTTTTAATTTAATGAGAGGTTCTAACCTAAACAATGACAATGGATCTATTACATTAGGTTTCTTTAATATACAGTAGAACTTGGTTATAACGTCATCAAAGGGACCTAAAAATAGTGTCGTTATAAACGAGTGTCGTTGTAACCGAAATGGGCACTTCCACAGTAGCCTTATGTTAGTCACGTAATAATCTACCAAAAACCGAGTTAAAATGTTGCATTTTCTTAGTGAAATACGTAGTTAAGTACAGATTAACGTAACATTAACGTGGAATTAATATGGATTCTCCATATCGTTTGTACTGTAGAATTCACCAAACCAAATTCATGGCATACATCAGCTTTTTTCCTTCCATTTTCTATTTCACGAATCACTTTAACTTTCTCTTCAATGCTTAAAACTTTCCTTTTCATTGCCATGTTTTCGCTACTGCACTTCTCTGGGTTTAGGCAGGAACACTATAGGGTAAGTAGACAATATGAGGTCCTGTTAGACGAGATTCTAGGAAAGGAATGCAGTT